ATATTTTCTCCCCTTACCTTTTTATACTTATTATGAAGCAGACGTTCTAGTATACGGGACCTATTTATTGCTTTTGGCCTTGAATGTGTAAAATAGTCTATATCATCAGACTGTGCTATACTAAAAGTTTCCTCAGTAGAAATGCTGACAAATCTCTGAGAATTAACTAGTTTATTTATAATCCTTTTGTGTGTGTGTGGTGGAGGTTGTTTTGTTTACTGTGTACAGAAAACAAGAAAGAGGAGAAGAAAGATACTGTGAAGTCAGCTTAGATTAGAGCACAGAACCTTAAAATAAAAGGCTGCACAGGCTAAGCCCTTCCCCAGGAAGAAATTCCTACTACAACATCAGTGGTTAATTAGCTACGTCTAAAATGTTTACTGCTGGGGAGCATGCCACTTCACAAAAGAGTTCATTCTCATTGTAGACAGTTATAAATTTTAAGAAATTCTTTCTTACTCTGAGTTGAAATCCTTATCCCACCACTTCTATCCTACTTATCCTAATTCTATCCTTTGGAGAAATACAGAACAAATCTCTTGCACCTTCCACATCTTCCTTCTTTGAGTATTTGAAAGCAATTTTTATGTCTCTCCTATTTTTCCCATCTCCATATTAAGTATTACCAGCTCCTTCAATTATTCCTCATATGACATGATTTCCAGATGCTGTGAATAAACTGGAGTAGTAGCTTGACTGAAAATTTTTCTTAAAAGTTTTTTAAAAGAGACCTGAAGGCTTATTTACAACTATAATCGACACAATTACAAGGACTACCCAGAACCCAGTGGTCTTCCAGAAGCTGTATGCTAGCTCTCCTTCTTGTGATACACACACACACACACACACACGCACACACACACACACACATACACACTACTGATGGGATGGTTCTGTGATACCAAGTGGGTCAGAGACCCTCATTTCCCTGGCCACATTGATTGGCTGAAAGAATAGTCACAAGTTCCAAGCTGGGCTAATCTGAGTCATTCCCCAAGGTTTTAAATTGGAACTCAGAGAAGGCCTGCTTTCCTCTTAGCTGGTGGAGCTACTAGATTTGATAGCCATTTACTCATTTCATGGAATAAGCCAATTTGATATAACGAGTTCAATATGAAAAGGGGTGTGGGGAGAAAGTTCCCAAATCTCCAGTTCCAACCATTCTTAAAACCAACTCTACCCCTATCTTTCCTGTGTTCTGGTTATTAAGTCAATAATTCCCCTCTGCCTGAATTGAGCTTGAGTCAGGTTTGTATCATCTGCAACACAGAGGGTCCTATCTAATACAATGCTCGTAAGGTTCCAAGCACTCTAACAGGACCAACAGAATGCAGTCATAAAAGGAAACAATTGCCATCCTACCCTACAAGAGGTATGGATGGACTCTCTTTCCATCATTTTAAGAATGAGAGCAATACCCACTTACTGAAGAAGATCAAGGTCCATCTTGCCAAATGGCCCAAGCTCACAGGGCTGACACTATTCGTTCAAAACTGTATTCCTAGACCTATCACACAGTAGGTGCACACAGTAGGTGCTTAAAACACTCTCCACTATAGTTGTCATAGTGAACAGAAGAAACAGTAGGCAAAACACTGAATATAAATTATCAAAATGAAGACACGAGTTCCCTGGGGAAACTTTAGACATATTTCACCTCCTTAGAAAATTAGATAACCCATTTGCCATATAAATTATGGAACTAGATTATCTCTTCAGTCTTTTTTAGCCATAAAATGCTATGATTTTATCCACACTCAACAATGGTAAAGAAGAGTCTTCCAAAGACCTGGGAATGCAGACAAAAAGGGGAAACATACTGCAATAATGAAGGAATTATAAAGATAAAGAAAAAGAATATCCTATCAAATAAATAAGAAAGAAAGAAAAAGAATGGGAAGAAATCATCACTAATATGATAAAAGAGGTCATTCAGATAAGCCATCTTCCTCTTAGCTTCCTATCTTATTCTAACCAGTTTCTGTGGTCAGAAATGCCCTCTGTACTGGATCCAAACTGCCAGCCCCAGAGCCTTGCCCCTTCCTGGCCCCTTATAACCCATATGGCAGTTCCTTCCACTCTACCACAAATCTCCTTCCAGAGTTGGCTCCCTGCTTCCGCCTTTGGTCCTAGATGTTCCCAACTCCTCTCTCACCATTCCAACCAGTTTTTCTTGTCACCAACAGAATGTGTACTCAGTTATATTGTGTCCTCCCACCCCTGTTTCCCATCCTGTCCTCTGCAATGACTGATGCCCAAATGGCCATCCATAATTTTCAATTTACTGCTTAATGTTTTGAACTTAGAATTCTGTCTCCATACAAATAATCAGAAAATGGCATCTCTATGAATTAAGGTGACCCATTTACACTGAGCTGCTCTAAGGAATTGACCTCACATCCTTTCGTGGAAGAAGGCCTTGATTAGGGGAAATACTGCCATTACAATTAGCAACTCATATTTAAGTATTACTATACACCTGCATAGTAAGTATTGAGTGCTGTGTACCAGCATATTATACTATGCACAGACACTATACCAAGTATTTTACATGCATTTGCTCATTTAATTCTTACAACACCTCTAAGAGGAAAGTACCAATATTATCCATACTTAAAGATGAAGAATCTCAGGCTCAGAAAGAGGAACTTACTAACTTACACAGCTAGTAAAAAGCACAAAAGCCATGTCCGTCTGACTCGATAATCCTTTGCTCTTACGTATAACATGACCCACAAGGACACTGATCCCTGTGAGAAATGGGGAAGGAGGGGACATTGGGGGAACCAAAAGCAAAGAGACTAGGGCACCAAAGTCAACATGATCTACTGCTTGATTTTGCTCAGAGTCAGCCCTATTTGAAGTAGAATCTTGTTCCCATTACTTGGCAATAGATTATCTGTCATTTTGCAATGTGGAAATGGACCCTCCATTATCCAAGCTGATCTAGTTGACTGTAGAATGCTGTACACAGACATTCTCATGACAGACAACTAATACAATCTTCTCCGTGAGGAAGGTGCAGCTGAACATCTCTTCAACTTTTTCCCTATCGCTTTTGATGCAGGGCACTTCGCATAAACCACAGCTATTCCTTCCTAAAGTATCCAGAGAAGAAAAGTAATTGAGAATACCAGGAAGGAAAGAGAGGGTGAGGATGAAGAGGAGGAAGGATTATAAAAAATCGTCCCCCAAAAAATACTACCACCAAATTTGTAAAATTTTTTAAAAAGCAAACCAGTGCAGGTGATTATCTGATAACTTCTGATTCGGAGAGAAATGAGTCCATCACTAAACAAAGAAAAGCACTTGACTGTGCAATAGAAACCATATGTTCAAATACCCAAGGTGGCATTTTCCTACATCACACAGCAGAGAGATACTGAATATTTCCTATAGAAGTAAGACCTCACTGCTGTAATCTGCGCAGGGTCTGTAGCAGCAGCAGCATTTCATCACTAAGCAAAAATCCAATTATTTTTAGATTCCATAATCTCTAATTCCTCTAAAATCTTCATCTATTCACTAACAGTTTTATATACACTGATAGAAAATAATGCCAATCCCTACTGAAGAATCACTAGATGTTTCTATGTGATAATCAGTCTCTAGTTTAAGTGAAATGGAAGCTGGGAATCAGACTAGTAAACTCTTTGGGGTCAGTCAGGAATTAATACATAAAGGTGTAAATACAAAAAGTACAATTGGGGGTGAAATGTAGCAGAGACTCTCTCTCATGAAATAAGAGAAAGTTTGTAAGTAATTATCAATTGAAAAAATTGTCTTAAACTAAAATAGAAGGGCGGGATCTAAAACACTACACAATTAGAAATCTTTAAAAGTAAAAAGTCCTTAAAACCTAAGGAAGGAGCCTAATGCTTTCATTCCAAGTCCAACCAGTTTCTTGTTCTAAGCAATTTCCATTGAACAGGGAAAGGAGGAGAGAAAGTATTTGAAAAACTGCCAGAGTTAACAAACCCCATAATGAAATTTTGCTCATTCTTGGAGAAATGAAGTAGAATTAGAGTGGTGGTGAATTCCAGAATCTGGGTAGCTTCCAGTAAAGGAAGCTTTTCCATAATGTCAGGTGCAAAAGCGATCTGATATCAACATACTGAGCTTGAGTTTTTAAAGTCCTATTTCCTTGCACCAAATTGTTTGAAACCTTTGAGACAAAAACCTCAATAAACTAGTATTCCAAGCTTTTAATATTTTAGTCCCTTGAGCAAGCACGTCAGATTAATCTTCAAATTGCAATGTGCAGAAAGAACATTCAACCAAAATTCTTAAGCCCAGTATGTTAATAAGGTATGCAGTTTCATTGGCTATTAAGATTTCAAACTTTCCTAATTCTCAGCAGCATTACTATTTAAAAGCGGGTGTGGATGCGGGTGGGAGAGGAAGCTAGTCTATCCTGAAAGGAAGGGATTTTACTTATTAAATCTTTGAATCCACCTAGCATTTACCACACTGCCAGGCACACAGCAGGCATTTAACACATACTTTCAGAATGAGTTGATGGATCGGCCTGGGGGAGAGGGGAAATCTTGCTGAGAACAGCATGAGTCCAAACCCTGGTAATGCTCAGCAACAAAGCCCATCTCCAGAATTAGGGTTACAGAGGTAGAGCAGGAAAGTGAACGTGTGTCTTCAAAGTGGCATCAAGAGGACTGTTTCCCGAGCTGGAGAGCAGCCACCCAAGAGCCACTAGACTCGTCTCCGGCTTCCCCATGCCTGGAAAACTCCTGCTCTGCCTCTCTACCTCCAGCTCCCCCTGCCTTTTCCCGGGTTTGAGTTTCCACTCACAGCACTTAGGTACAGGATTCGACCTCGCTAGTCTAACCCAGGCCTCCTGGCCATTGCGCGGTTCTCCGAGCATCGGCTGGGAGGGAGGCCACACCGTGCTAGGCAAAAGGAAGGACACACACACGACGAAGGTTCCCATCACCTTTGGGGGAGGGGGGAGCGAGTTCAAGGCCAGGGCACCATCCAAAGGTTCCTTATCCCTCTCCTAGAGCCTCTGGCCGAACCGCTGGAAGATGCTGGGGAACCAGCAGCACGCCGCCCAGTGAGCGCGGAGCCGCCGGGGTCGGGACTTGGAGGAGCTGGGAGGGGGGTGGCAGTTGGCCGGAAGCGAGACGCGGCAGGGGACAGTACCTGGTATGGCTGTGGTTGCGGGGACAGTCTTTCTTCTCCATGATGGCCGGCACACAGTTGGTGAGCTCCGTCCAGTCGGCGTGCAGCCCGCAGCTCCAGCCGGTGGAGAAGCGGGAGAAGAGCCACGTCTCCTTCTTGCCGGGCCGGTGGCAGGTGCACTTCTTCTGGCCGGCTTTGCAGCTGCACGGCTGCTCCAGCCGGATGTTCTTCACCAGGTGCCGCCCGAACGTGGTGCCCCCGGTCTTCTGGATGTGCAGGAACACGATCACGTCGCGCCCCTTGATGTTGAAATCCACGAAGCGGGTCAGGTCCTTCAGGGTGAAGTTGAAGCGCGGCACGAACCGGGGCAGCGACCCGTTCTCGGGGTCCTCGGGGTCCGGCTCTTCTTCCTCCTCCTCTGCCTCGTCCTCCTCCGGGTCCCCCGGCTCCTCGTCCTCGTCCTCCGGCGCCGCGGCCCCCCGAGGCCCCTCGGGCGGCCCCCGGGGTGGCGGGGGCAGCTGGGGCCGTCGCTCCCAGTCCTCGAGCGGCGCCTGTGCCGGGCGGGCGGGACCCGGGGCGGCAGGCTGGCCGGCCTCCCCGGCGCGGGGCTGCTCCCCGAAGTTGGCGCAGGAGCTGGTGCAGGAGGGAGTCACGTACTGGTACATGATGACCACGAAGAGAAGAGTGAGCACCGGCGTCAGCAGCCACTTGTTGAACCTTTCATCCATGGTCCCGCTCTCAGGCCGGCAGGCTAAGCGGCGGCGGCAGCGACGCTGTCGGGCTCCCGCTCGGAAGTTTCGGGGGC